CCCCCCCCCCCCCCCCCCCACTCTGCTCTTAGGGCACCCTGGAGGCACCAGGCCATGGTGCCACCATCCCCCAGTCTGGGAGCCCTCATCCCCAGGGCTGTTCCCTCACCTCTCCGCCTCCTCAGCTGTTATTTTTTTCTCTGCAGCCTGCAGTGCGGCTGCCAGGGAGGAGTTGGTCTGTTCTAGTCTCTGCTGAGCCAGGGCTGCATCCGGAGCGTCATTCAGAGGCTTCATAAAAATGGGCAGCCTGCTGCTCAAGGCTGCCTTGTTGCCAGTCTCCAGCCTGGATGGGCAGGCAGTGGATCCGGCCACCTCTGTGGCCATCTCGTTATTTTTTTCTCTGCAGCCTGCAGTGCGGCTGCCAGGGAGGAGTTGGTCTGTTCTAGTCTCTGCTGAGCCAGGGCTGCATCCGGAGCGTCATTCAGAGGCTTCATAAAAATGGGCAGCCTGCTGCTCAAGGCTGCCTTGTTGCCAGTCTCCAGCCTGGATGGGCAGGCAGTGGATCCGGCCACCTCTGTGGCCATCTCGGCACTTGCCCAGGGGGCGACGGTATTCCGGGAGGGCTGCAGGACTTGCTGATAAATCGTTTTTGGCCCTGAAAATACCAACTTCGTGGAAGCCACAGAGGTGTGCTTGGCTGAGGCATCTGGAAGGGAACAGATACAACCTAGTTCAGTCGTGGTCCCTTGTAGGCTGCATCAGCTCTGGGCCAGGAGACACCCAGCCCAGCTGGCTAGGACAAAGCTCCTCTCTTGTCCCTCCACAGAAACACCAAGCAGCAGCTGAGACTCCCTGTGCGACACAAGGCAGGGGTGTAGCTGACAGCTGCCCCACCCAACTCCCTGAGGCACCCCCACCCCAGGAGGAACTGTTAGTTCACTCTGAACACAAACCATCTATTGCACGTACCTGGCCCTACAGTCGAGGTTCTCAGGATGGCTCCCCCGTGTAGCTCCCCAGGGCTGGCTGTTTTCAGAGGCAGTGGAGGCTTTTTGATTCCCTTCTCCAGAGACAGGATGCTCTTCTCAATCTCAGCTATCCTGAATTCCACGCTGTCGTCGTCAAAAACGTCTCCAGCCCCTCCGGGCTCCGGCTCTGGGACTTGCAGGACTGGGCTTGCAACGCTCACGGCTGGGGCCTGTGCATATTGTTGGGGTGGACTTGCAAGAGCCTGGCTCTGGCCAGCCAAGCTGAATGCCTTCAGCAGAGTCTGTAGTGGCTCCCTCTCTTTATACCTGGGCCTCCGCTTCACAGTGTCCGACTCTGTGAGGTTGAATTCCAGCACTTCCGTTGTGGTTCCTCCCAGCTCCTTCCCAGCAGAGGAGCAGGGAAGCCCCACGTTGGTACCCGTCAAGGAGCTGGACTCAGAGTCTAGCGTGGTAGCTTCTGCCTTGTGTTGCCCGGTAGGCTTTGGTCGCTGCTTGATGGTTAAGTTGCCTTCTTCTGCAAATGGAATGCACTCGCTGGAGCTGTTCTGAGAGGAGGACGAGGAGACCACACAGTCCTCCGGGCCAGGTCTTAGCTCCTCCTCTGTGTCGGACTGGACATCCTCCAGGCTGCTTTGCGAGGCCTCTGTCATGGTGCCACTGGGTTCACTGAACGTGCGTCGGCGGGGCCTGCTGCTCTCAAAGGCGTCTCTGTCGTTATCTGAGGGTCTCGCGCTGCAGGAGCCTTCGGAGACGCTGGCTCCACGGGGATGACCATCCGAGCCTGCTCTAGAAGTCAGCATGTGATCGGGAGCTGGGGGCTTTTGTAACAGAAGAGGCTTTGGCAGACTGCCACCTGCCGTGGACACCTCCAGCATTGCAGCTATGCTCTTCACTGTTTGGCTGCTGCCTGCATCGCTGGTGCCTAACCCAGAGGAGAGAGCCCCATCCACTGACTCTTGGGCAACAGCCAGCCCGGTCTCTGAGTCTGGATGCTGCTGCTCACCCTCTGCCTCCACAGCCTGGGCACTGGAGACAGAGCTCAGGCGCTTGGGAGGGGGCGGTGGAGGCCCTTTCCTCTTTGCCCGGATGGCGAAGGACTGGCTGCGAACAACCTTGGTGTCTGACTGCAGGTAGGTGCGTGGCACTTGGCTCCGCCCCGGGCGCCTGGTGAGGGTGGCGTAGGAGCCCAGAGTGCTGCTGGGTTCCTCCTCCTTCTCGTGCTCACTGTCCGACAGGGCGTAGCGATTCAGGCTGTGAGAGCGTTTCTTATACTTGAAGGGGTCTCCATTTTGCAGGTCTCCAGTGTGCCAGGAGCCCGGGGACACGTATGGGGAGTCCGTGCCGCTGCAGTGGGAATGGAGATAAGAGAAAGCTTTCTGAGCTGATGACTGGAGGGTGCTCCTCTGGGAAGAGGAGGACTGGGGGTACAGGTGTGCTGGGTTCTTCGGCTGCTCAGGAGCAGTGGGGGATTTCAGGGAGATGTGGGGATACATGAAGACATAGGGTGCTGTGTTCTTAGTGGGCGTCTGGGGTGGGGTGTAGGGGGTTGTTGCTGGTAGGGAGTTGGATGGCTGCAACAGAGGAACACTGCCTTTCTGAGCCACGGGCCTCTGGTACTGATCCATCCCTTCTGGGAGGTTCCTCTCTTTCAGAGGGCTTCCCCCACACCCATTGGAGTAGCCATTCAGTGCCTCTTGGGCAGTCAGCTGGATAATAACCTTCCCGTAATTATCTTGGTGAGGTCTCCCGGGCAGGATGCCAGCGTTCTCCTTCTGCCGGGGCTGCGCCGAGGAGTGTCCGCTGCTGCTGCTGTCACCACTGCCCAGACTCTCCTGGGAATGGCTGGAGAGGATGGTCCTGGACAACACGTTGTCCTGAGAATGGCCTGACCCTCTGGAGCGCACTCCAATGCTCTCCTGACTCCGGGACATCCCCTGCGTGCTCTTCATGGGGAGCGTTTCCTGGCAGCTGTTGGACATGGCTGTTTGGAGCTCGTAGCTCAGCTCGCTGTCCAGGAAGGTTTTCATCTTGGGTGTGTGCGGAGACTGGCCCTCGCCATTCTCCAGGGACTCAATGGTGACAATGTCCAGGGTCCCAGGGATTTTGCGTTGTGCTTCGTTGGTGTCGGCTTGGTTCAGGTACTTGCGGAGGTCTGTCAGCTTCTTGACAGCCAGCATTATCTTCTTCTGGTGGCCTGCAGAGACACAGGAGTGGAAGAGTTCAGTTTCCATGGCCCCCAGGAAGGACACTTGTGGTTTTAATGCTGTGGACCCTTGCACACTGTTTGCACGGAGCGCATGAGGATGCCCACAGCCCATGGACTTGAGCCAGCTCCGGCGGCAGAGGCAGATGGGAGACTGAGCCTCTCTCAGCTACTCACCCAGCTTGTTGATGCCAATCTCCTGCAGGTCCTCCCACGTCAGGTCCATCACGATGCTGACGGAGTCGTAGCCATTGCTCACCAGCTTCTTGTGGTACTGGGGCAGCCCAATGGCGCTCAGCCACTCCATCAGGTCGGCCTAGAGCACAGCGCCAGGGGGAATTTCATTAGCAGCCCTGCAAGGGAGGGCTCTGCCTCGCTGCTGCTCTCTGCCCTGCAACACCGGCCTGCGCGAGCCCGGCATCGGCTTCCCTGCCTGGTGAGACACTTCCCCATGGCTGGGGGTGTCCCAGATTGCTCAGGGCGAGCTGCTGGTACATGGGGAAGGTTAGAAGCCTCCGTTCACCCCAGGCTCTTCCCTGCATGGCCCTCTGTGGACTCGTGTTAAAACCTGCACTAACTCGTGTTTAACTCGTGTTAAAGTCTGCGGAGCCTGCTGCCTGGTTAGCATGCCACGGGAACCAAGCCCAGCCCCAGGAGAAGTGCCCAGTCTCACAGGGCCCCCACAGCCTGCAAAGGCCCCGCCGTGCCCCCGGCACTGGTGCCCACAATACTCACAGGAATGTAATTGGGCAGCCACTCCGCGATGCTGAGCTGCCCAATCTCAGTGGAGATTTTCTTCCTGTGCCCTGGTTTAGTCACTCCAATGGCTGTTAGGTCCTAAAACGAGAGCAGTTGCCTTCAGTCGGCGGGATGCTCAGAAGTCGACAAGGAGTCACCACGGGGAGGGCCTGCCTCGGAGAGTATAGTGCTTGTCCCGTGGCAGTGGCTGGTCCAGAAATACCAGGGAGACTGTGGCAGGGCCCCTGAGACAGCTGGAGTCTAAGGGGGGAGGTCGGTCACTGGGAAAGGCAAGCGGTAGGGGCCGGGGCCTGCCTTCAGTCCTTAGCACCGCTGCATTCCCTGCGGCCATGCGCTCCCCGTGACTCCCGCCCGCCGGACCTTACCTCGGGCGTCATGCGGCTGATGGTGGGCACGTCGTAGCCGGCACTGAGGAAGTTGGCCGCGTAGAACTCCAGCTGGAACTCGCTCAGCCAGTTGTAAATGGCCTCCGCATCCTGGCGAGAGAAGCCGCCAGAAGAGCCCCTGAGGGTGGCTGCACGGGCTGGGGCGAGGCAGGAAACTCCCGGCTTCCCTGGGCAACGCAGCCCCCCCTTGGGACAGGGCCGTGGACTCCTCCCCTTCTACTGTCAAACTGGCTGGAGTTACAGGACGAGGGCAGTAGCTGGGTTGTACAGAGACGCTCCCCCTGGGGCGGGCAGGCAGTGCTCATGTGGGAGGTGGCCATTTCATCTTGGCTTCCACCAGGCAGGCTTCCCCGGCTTCCCCCACTTCCCCCACGAGTCAAAGCTGGTACACACACAGCTGCTCGAGTGGATGCAGGGATTGGCAAAGCCTGAGCCCCCCTCTAAAATGGTCACCCCCAGCTGTGGCATTAAAGTCCCCTTGGGCTCAGGTACCTTTCCCTCCAAGAGCTGGTCAGGGTGGAGGTACTGGTGCGAGAACATCCTGTTGCTGGCATTGCAGTTGGCTAGGTTCTGGCGCCCGAGGGTTCCTGACCAGAGAAAGGGGGGACTGTTACTGGGTGGGCCCAGGGATGGGATCGTGCTGCCAAGAGAGCTTGGGCTCGGGGGGAACGGAAGCTTTTGCCCAGTCGTGTGATTAGTTCAGAGCCCCTTGCTCCAGGCCACCCAGGGAGCTGGCGGCAGAGCAGTTTGCCCACCATGTGCTGCAGCTGTTGGAGCATGAGGTCACATCCCCTCTTCAAAGCCCTTGCTGCTTCCAACTCCTCCCAAGCATGAGAGAGACCCGGAGCCTTCTCCCAGCTCTGACCGTGGGCGCTTGGCAGCAGCCTGGAGTGAGTGTGGCACACTGGCCTGTCTGATCTCAAAACACAGCGTGACTCTTGCAGCTGATCCCACCCCTGAGCAGGCTGGGAGAAGAGCCGGGAAATACTCGCCCCAGGCCCATGCCTGGAGCGGACGCAGGCAACAGAACAGCAGCAAGGGGCATTCGCAAGCCCTCCTGTGTTCTCCCCAGCCCCCTGCAGCTCCTGCCTGAAGACAGACAATGCCAAATGCAAACTGACAGCTGTGCTAAGTGTGGAGAGAGAACCGCAGTCCCATGCTTGCCTCAGTGGGGGGGCGGTGTCCAGGCACCCCTGGAGGCAGGTAAGCTCATAGAGACGTGACTGACAGTCTTGCAGCACGATGAGGGTAGGGCTGGGAATAGAGCCCAGCTAGCCTGATCCCTGCACCTGTACTCAGCCCTAGGCCAGGCCTGGCCCCTGCCCTTCCCCCTCCTCCACAGTTCTATTGTAAAAGGGAAGAGCTGCAGTCAAGCTCCAAGGTCAATGCAGGGCCAGAGCGAGGTTCATTGCGCTTCGTGGTGCCCAGTGCTGGCCGTGCACCAGTGGGAGGTGGTGGGGCTTTGTCTCACCGGGGCAGCACTGTGAACAGGGAGCTGGGTTAGCCTGCCGGGCTGGTACACACAGAGCTCGAAGGGCCGGGGGACTGAGGGCAGCTCTGACGGGCTCGGAGACACTACAAGCCACAGTCTCTCCCTGTTGTCTCTTCCCTTACCTGTCATGGAGCTCAGCTGCCCATTCGGGCTCGTCAGTCCCAAGAGCTGCTGTGGTAGGTCCTCACCGCCAGGGGGCAGCGGCTTCATAGGAGAGAAGAGAGACTCAGAAGGGTCGGACATGGTGGGGCTGGACTGCAGGAGCAATTCCCACATGCAGGGGAAGGGATGGCCCAGGCATGCGACTACCCAGCACAGCCTGGGGCAAGAGCCCTGCACCAGGGCCTCCATGGCAGGACTTCTGTGTATCCTGGAGCAGGGGGACAGGGCCCTGGCAACCTCGGCAGTCAGCCGGGCACAGGAGCTCCCTGGTTAGAGGATAACAGTCCTACTACTCCTGTCTGAGGCAGAGCCTCAGCTCTTCACCCCAGCCTGGGCATGACTGCAGATGGGTTTGTAACATGCACACCGCGCTGCACAGCAGTCCCTGCCCCTGCCCGGCCCCCAGTGCGGGGGACAGAGAGGGTGACGGGTCTCTAACCCTGGGCAGCCTGTGCCAGGGCTGCATTTCCAGCGGGGTGGGTTTAGCAAGACTGGCCTCTGGCCAGGGTCTTACCCGTTCAGACACCACACTGCGCAATAGACACACATTCCTGGGGCCCAGGCTGCTGCTCCCAGAAAGCCGCTGGCTCTGAGAACAGGTGGGGCCTCCAAGGGAGGGGGGGGGGTTAAAAGAATGCGGGGGAAGGGGCATATGGCAGAAGTGGGGGCCTGAGTCAATATGAACTTGCAGGGCTGCAGGGAGCAAGTCCAGGAGCCCCATAGGGGCTAGAGAAAAGCCATCAAGGCCCTGAGCAGGGAGAGCTGGGGGTGGGTTCCGAAAGAGCTGGGGGGGGGGAGGTGAAGTCAGCCCTAGGATACTGCTGGATCCAGGCCCCCCCCTTGGACCTTAAAGCTCTCATGAGACTTGCTCTGCTCCCTGGACACAGCAGCAGGCACCTGCCCTCCTACCTTGGCGTTCTCAATGAGAATACTGGTGCTCTGCCCGTTGGTGCCCTCGGTGCTCTGCCCGCTGCCAGCGCTGCGAATGCTGCCGATGCTGCCCTCGCTGCCCACGCTGTTCCTGTCTCCTGCAGTGATGGGGAGAGGCGGTGTTGGGACCATGTAACTGAATGCTGGAGAAGGAGCCTGATGCCCTGGGGCTGGGAGAGGCACCGCCCGGAGCCCTGTAGCCCCTCGGCACTGGGACAGGGCCTGGACTAAGCCACGGTCCATGTGCAGGCAGTGACAGCACTCCCAGCTCCTGCAGCGAGAGGGCTCTCCAGGACGGGCAGAAAGGAACTGGCCCCTGTGCAGAGACCCACCTGCTTTAGCCTGAGGCACGCTGTCCGGACACTGGCACAGGGGCCAGCTCTGGGCCTAACCTCCCCAAGTCCCCAGCCCTCCATGGCGCAGAGAAACACTCAGCCATTCACCCCTCCTTAGCGACAGCACTCCCAGCTCCTGCAGCGAGAGGGCTCTCCAGGACGGGCAGAAAGGAACTGGCCCCTGTGCAGAGACCCACCTGCTTTAGCCTGAGGCACGCTGTCCGGACACTGGCACAGGGGCCAGCTCTGGGCCTAACCTCCCCAAGTCCCCAGCCCTCCATGGCGCAGAGAAACACTCAGCCATTCACCCCTCCTTAGCGCGCACGTCCAGCTTGGAGCTGGAAGGGGATTTTCTCCATCTCTTGGGAGGGATGGCAGAGGGAAGGGCTCCTTGATGGGCCAGCCCTCCCCAGCAGGGACCCTGACCTGAGTTCTCAGGCCCTGGGGCCGTCCTGGTTAAGGTGAGGTGGCTGTAGGCAGCAGGGAGGCTGAGGGGTGCCTGCTGTGGAGCATCAGCTGAGCCGGCAACGCCCTGGCGGTGGTTTGCAGGCACCGTGCGGGGAAGAGTCATGCCTGCATTTAAAGACAAAACACTCAGGTAAGAGCAGAGTGTGTGGAGGGGAGGAGGCAGCGTCAGTCAAAGCAGGGTCCAGAAATACCCCAGCGCTGTGCCTCCAGGACTGAGTTCGGCAGGGGATGGGCTTTGGGAAGTGAGTGAGCAGCGGACAAACCTTGGCGGTGGTTTGCAGGCACCGTGCGGGGAAGAGTCATGCCTGCATTTAAAGACAAAACACTCAGGTAAGAGCAGAGTGTGTGGAGGGGAGGAGGCAGCGTCAGTCAAAGCAGGGTCCAGAAATACCCCAGCGCTGTGCCTCCAGGACTGAGTTCGGCAGGGGATGGGCTTTGGGAAGTGAGTGAGCAGCGGACAAACCTGGGGCAGAGCCAGGGCTGTACCAGGGTTTCCCCATCCCTGAGAACGGGGCCTGGCTCCATTGTTCCTTTCTCAGTGACATGAATGCTCGGGTCAGGCCCAGGCCCCTGGCCCTGCCAATGCACCCAACTGTCAGTCCTGAGCACCCCACACGACCATGTCTCAGCCCAGGCCCGATGCCTGGGACCCCTTCAGCTCCACCATCCTGACCTGCAGCCAGCACTGCTGCTCCAGGGCTAGATGAGCGGGGGGGCTGCTGCAGGGGCTTGAACTCAACATGCACAGGGACTGAGCCGACAGCAGACTCCCTCCCCCTGTAAACAGACTGGGAATCTGATTCCCAATCTCCAGCTGGGAGCAGCTCGCCAGAGCCCATCTGCAGCCAGTGCCTCTGTGTGGTGCTATCCCAGCAGCCCTCCAGGCCTGAGGGGGCGCTGCCAGCCAGAGACCCAAACCCTGCCACCTCCACTGGCTGCTGGAGTGGGGCTGGGGCTGGGGTGGGGGGGTTGTAGTGAGGGTGGGAGGAGTCCAGGTCAAAGACATGCCCCCCCCCCCCCCCCATGCACTCAAAGGCCCCGAGGGAAGCGTTCTACCCTCTGGGGGCGGGCCCCCCCCCCCCCCATGCACTCAAAGGTCCCGAGGGAAGCGTTCTACACTCTGGGGGCGGGGCGTTCACTAACCTGTCCGCTTGCTGATGACCTCGACGATGGAGGGAGGGAAGTAGCCGACCCGATCGGTGCCTTTCTGAGTGTCGTGGATGTGCCCCTTCCAGCGCCCATCCGAGTGCTGCTCCAGGACCTGCGCAGGGCACCAGGCACGAGAGTGTTAGGCCCTTGAGGGAGAGAATCTTCTACACTCTGGGGGCGGGGCGTTCACTAACCTGTCCGCTTGCTGATGACCTCGACGATGGAGGGAGGGAAGTAGCCGACCCGATCGGTGCCTTTCTGAGTGTCGTGGATGTGCCCCTTCCAGCGCCCATCCGAGTGCTGCTCCAGGACCTGCGCAGGGCACCAGGCACGAGAGTGTTAGGCCCTTGAGGGAGAGAATCCCCACAGGTGTTCCAGGGCCAGCAGAAGTCGGGGCACAGTGCAATGGAGGAGCCCCCGGCCATGGGCAGCTCCTAGCCAGGCCCAGCAGGAGGTGCTGCAGGGAATGTGCAGGGCCCCTGGCTATGGGTAGTTCCCAGCCAGGCCCAGCAGGAGGTGCTGCAGGGAACGTGCAGGGCCCCTGGCTATGGGCAGCTCCCAGCTACCGCTGTGTTGATGAGCCATGGTCTCTGCAGATGATTGCTCACCGTGATGACATCTCCTGCCCGGATGTTGAGAGCAGTCGGGTCGTGGAGGTTCCAAAAATCCTTCAGAGCTCGGACTTTCAGGATTCCTGATGCCTCTGAAGAGATGGGAAGGAGGAAAGAAGGAGCACGGGGAGCAGCAGGGCAAGAGAACAGGGAAGAGGACAGGGGAGAGAGAGAACGTTAGTAGCACAGCCAGGAGCTCAGTCCCTCGCTGTGCCCCAGTCATGCGTGTGTAGGGGGGGAAGCCCCTCACCTGGGCTCGCAAACAGGTTACCTCAGGGCGTTCGGAAGGGGGTTGGGATGTTGCCCCACACGCCCCTCTCTTGCTCTCAGTGCTAGGCGAGAGCCAAGAATCCGCAACCCGCAGCAGGGCCCCTGGTGCTGCCCGTGGGCTTACAGAGCCCGGGGAAGAGAGCCCCGCGTTCTGCTTATCCCCAGCTCACCTCGCAGCAGTTGCTTGATGTCCTTGCTGGCGTGCGAGGTGGTGAACTGGTTCACGATGTCCAGGGCCGTCTGGTTGTAGGTGTTGCGGATGTTCACATCGACGCCGCCCTGCCCACGGGGGAGCCAGCACAGAGACCCATCAGTGGCAGGGCCAGTGGGCAGCTGCTTGGGACAGCGTCTCCCCCAGGAGGACTGCTGCTGAGGAGGCACCTCCAGCGCAGCCGAGCCAGGGGCAGGCGGCCCAGCATGGAGGCCTGGGAGAGAAGAGCCCCTGTCTTCTCTCACCAGCTTCCGCAGGCCGTTTGGGGGGACTAAGAGGAAGTGAGAACAGAGCACGAACAAGGCCCAGAAGCTGCAGTGCTGGAGGGAGGTCCCATCCCTCGCCCGGTTCTCACCCCCACCAGCCACTGCAGTCAGGCCACGGCCTGCATCTCTCTGCCCCGGAGCCAACCCCTCAGAACCAAGTTCAGGGCCACGAGTATCGCCCTCGAGAACTGAGCCCGTCTCTCTCCCACCTGCTCTTACAGAGCATCGCCCTCCCCTCTGCTACGTGCTGCAGACAGAAGGCTCTTCCCAACTGAGGTACCGCTCCCTTCCTCCCTGGCAGGGCCTGTCCGCTCACCTCCAGAAGCAGGCGCACCACCTCCGTCTTGCCGTAGAGCGCGGCCTCGTGCAGGGCTGTGCCCGTCTTCGTCTGCCTGTTGATCTCAATCCCAGCTTTCAGCAGTTGCCTGGGGGCGGGGTGGGAGAATAAGCCGTGGTGGTTCAGAGGGAGCAAGTGGGCACTATGAGCCAGGAGGGCAGGGTGGGCAGTGAGGCAAGGCAGCTGGGCAGCAGGCAGAACTGGGGCATGGGCTGGGAGAGGGCAAATCTCTTGTCTCAACCAGGGTAAAATCAGGAGATGATTTGGGTTCACCGGAGACCGAATCCAAACGGAAATTCCAACTGCACAGGGCAAGACGTGGAGGGAGCCAATGATGGACGGGGGGGGGGGGGGGGGTCGCGCGGCCAGTGATCGAGGGCCTGGGATAGAAGGAAGAAAGCCCGAACCCCTTTGGAAAAAGTCTCCAAGGCTAGGCCTGGGGCAAGCAAAGGGCAGCATGTGGGGGTCTCTAGGAAATCGAGGGCAGGAGAGGAGTCTGGCACTGTGCGGGGAATGCTGCTAACCGCCTGGGTGGGGTAGGAAGCTGGTGGCCGGCGGGGCGAGCACATGGATCGAGGGCCTGGGATAGAAGGAAGAAAGCCCGAACCCCTTTGGAAAAAGTCTCCAAGGCTAGGCCTGGGGCAAGCAAAGGGCAGCATGTGGGGGTCTCTAGGAAATCGAGGGCAGGAGAGGAGTCTGGCACTGTGCGGGGAATGCTGCTAACCGCCTGGGTGGGGTAGGAAGCTGGTGGCCGGCGGGGCGAGCACATGGTGGGGTGCTGTCCATTACCTGATGATCTCCTTGTGCCCGTTCTTGGCTGCCAGGTGCAGAGGGGTGGTGTAGTTGGGGTCACTCATGTCTTTGGACTGACCCTCCAGGAGGGCCACACACATGTGGCTGTTCAGCAGCAACTGGGCCACCTAGGCAGGGCGCGAGATGGGTGAGCGACGGGGAGTGTCCCATGCCCCTCTCCCCCGGAGCCCTGCAGCAGGGGTGGGATTGCTCCGCTGGCCCCATTCCAAAGGACATTATCAGCTGTGCTGACCCCAAGCTCTGCAAGCCATCCTGCCCGAGGCAGCCAAAACCATTGCCCCTCCCAGGCCCACGTGCATGGCCCTTGGGGAGCCTCAGCGGGTGGAGATCAGAGAAGGGCAGAGTCCCCACAGAAAGGAATCCCTTTTCCCATGATACCCCGTCAGACGGTGGCCGAAGGACCAGAGAATCTGAGGTCCAGGCGTGTGCGGGCCTGACCCAGCAGAGACGCCCACGCCGAGCCCTTGGGGCAGCCAGGGACCTGCTGCAGGGGGGAGAGTCCCCACAGAAAGGAATCCCTTTTCCCATGATACCCCGTCAGACGGTGGCCGAAGGACCAGAGAATCTGAGGTCCAGGCGTGTGCGGGCCTGACCCAGCAGAGACGCCCACGCCGAGCCCTTGGGGCAGCCAGGGACCTGCCGTAGGGGTGTTTTTACTGCATTATTTATAACTACAATAATGAAACCTCCCCGTGGCGAGAGTGGAACCATCCGGGGCTGCTCCGCTGGGCTGGCTGCCCTCTCCTTCGGAGCTGGGCCCCCTTCCAGCAGCGAACGGAGGGGGAGCCTTCCCACCCCAGCAATGCAGAGCAGCCTGTGCACCTGTCCCGAAGAGCCAAGGCAGGAATCTCGCCTGCCCTGCCAGGTTGGAATCTCAGGCCTGCAAACACAGCTGTGCAGAGCCTGCCCTCTCCGCACCGGTCGGGATTAGGGGGCTCAGTCCGTCTGGTCACCACCAGCCTGGGCTTAAATGGGAGCAGTGGAAAGATGGGGGTTGGGGAGCAGTGCTTGGAGCAGAGGACTTGGGCTTATTAGCCTGTCGCTGGGCTCTGCCACTGGCTTATTGCAAGGCCTTGGGCAAGCCATGCCCCCGCGCTGTAGCTCTGTTTTCCCTGCAGTTAATGGTGGGGAGGACACGCTGTTGTTCTCCGCGGGGTGGAAGGCACTAATGAAGGACAAAGCACTGTAACAAATCCTGGCCCTCAAACTGAGCTCCACAGCCACAGCAAGGAGAGAAGCCGCCCAATTTTCCTCCCCCCCCACTCACGATGCTAAGGGAGAAGCTCCATCAGTGGCTAGCACTACAGGGCCTAGGACATGCATTGATGCGTTCTGATCCCATCCAGTGGGGGGCAGTGATGTGCTGGCCAGTTCCGTGCAGTATTGTTGGGAAGGGGAAGAGACCCGGGCCTAGTGCAAAGTCTCAGCAATGACGGGGATGGTGCGATGCCGAGGCTTTTTGCAGGGGGGAGGGCAGGCTGTGGCTTTTACCTTAAGCCGGCCAAACTCACAGGCCAGGTCCAGGGGAGTTTTCTTTGCCTTGTTGATGAGACATGGGTTGGACTGGTGCTGGAGCAGCATTTCCGACTGCGGAGGCGTAAGAGACGTGTCAGGCAGGCTGGCGAACGTGCCCCTTCCAGCTAGCAGCCTCCTCACACGCCCCTTTAACTGATCGCCCCTCCCTATGGCTCCTACCTCCACCCTTCCCTCAGAAGGCGCCTGAGCCATGCTCTTCCGTGCCTGTGTTAAAGAGCACCCTGTCCCCTTGCTGCTCCTTCTCTCCATTTCCACAGCCCTCCCCCCCCCACATCTCCCCTCCCAGGCAGCCTGCTGGGCCACACCTGCTCCAGTATTAGCCCAGGCAGAGGCGGTTTGTGGGCAAGTGGCACCAGGGGCTCCCCAGAGAGAGCTGGGAAGTTGCTTCCCAGGAGGAAGCCGTCACACCAGAAACGGAGTCTGGGTCTCTCGTGGGGCAAGAGGGTCGCAGGCCAAAGCCTGGAGGCAGCCCAACGCTACACCCGCTTCCCTCCCCGCAACTGAGGCAATGTTGCCACATTGGTACCCAGTTAGCACAGGGGATAGGCCCGTGGAGATTAGGGTGAGGGACACCAGGGCACTCAGGACTGGGCACGCATGCAGCTGAGGGCACCTGGGCTCCCACAGCCTCTGTCACCTCCCTCCCCAGCCCCCGCACTCACCACCTCGTAGTGCCCATACTGCGCAGACAGGTGCAGCGGGATCTGCCCGTCCAGTGACGCCATGTTGACGGAGGCGGCTGCCCGCAGCAGCAGGAGGACCGGTTCCACCCTTCCCTGCCAGGCAGCATAGTGCAGCGGGCGCATCCCTGTGGGGAAGCAAGGTCAGGACAGGGAGACCAAGAAGGGCTGGCTCTCTGCTTGACACTGCCCTGAGCGAGGTAGGAGCCCCAGGGTGGCAGCGGTCAGGAGCTAGGCCTCGTGAAGCTGAGCTCTCTGGGGCTGCCTGCAGTCACTATGCCGACCCCTTGTGAGGCCCCCACCCCAGAGTGAATGGAGCTCCGGGGGTGAGGAGAGGGACAGGACTCTATGGCTGCCTGCCCCAACCCCAAAGGGGGCCTGCAGTGGGTACCTTGCCCTGGGAGGAGCACAGGTGCATTGCTCCCTCAGGATGGGGGCAGGCAAAGGCACCTCCGCCTTGCCCAAGTGCTCCCCAGTCCGGGGGAAGTGGCAGGCTGGCAGAGAGACACCCCCACAGATGGGGGAGGAGCAGTAAGCAGGGGGCAGGTAGGGGTCCGGGTCAGAGGTGAGCCAGTTCCCTACCATTGCTGTCCTTTATGTCAACAGTGGCCTGTGCCTCCAGCAGCAGGGAGATGAGCTCGAGGCTCCCGCCCAGGGCTGCATGGTGCAGCGCTGAGAACCTGAGAACAGCAAAAAAGAAGGGTTCAGAGCAGCCAGCTCCATAGCTCCTGTCTTAGCCCCGCCCAGCCCAGTCCTGCGTAGGGGCCAAGGTGGCCATTCCTCTCTTCTCCACTTCAGAAGGATCCAGAGCCAGCTGCCCACGCCCCTGCCTCTTCCAGTTCCAGAAGGCTGGTCTCAGGCCAGGCTGCTGCACATCTCAGAGCTTCC